GGAGAATCGCGTTTCCAGTTTTCCTACAATAGTAAGGTCTTTGATTGTACTTTTACAGTAACCACGTTACTAGTATATGCTTCGATGTTCTCTCTCTCTCTCTCTCTGTATGGTGACATACACCATGTAGTAACGTTACATATACATTGCGAATTGAATTTTTTAAATGATAATTTCCTCCATGAATAATGGCGATGTGTGTGTGTGTGTGTGTGTGTGTGTGTGTGTGTGTGTGTGTGTTTCCACACATCTGTGGTCAGCATAACTGACCTTGGTACTGCAGCAGAACTTCCGTTTTTTGTATCTTTTGTCCTGAACATGCTATGGTCTGGACTTTTAGTGACAGATAGCTTTTCTTGTCAGGAATGAAGGGTGTGGGTTTTGTCCTCCTAGCTACTTTTTCTGGAACGGCAGGCGAGTTTCCGACGAAATATTTTTAGTCCAGAAAGGAACAACTTATTTTCATATTTTTTAGTATGTAGGTAGCTTAGAGAGAGATGTACATAATAAAGTGCAAATTCTGTAAATGAAAAAAATAAATTTGCATAATTATATAGGAAAGTCTGTAATTACAGTGTTTAAACGATAGTACAAGGATAGAAGTCTCACACGCAAAATATTGTGATTTGAGTTTAGAAAACCATAAATTAAACTACATGTGAATTACAACCTTATTTCACTATTCAATGAGACAAATCTCCCAAAAAATCATTTACATAAACTCTACATATTTAATGGAGGTATTACATCTCCGAATTCTTTCTAGTTTTATTTTGTACTTTCTATTTATTACGTTTTGACCTTAGCTCAGTTGGCAAAAATGTGTAATGAAGGTCGCCATTCATCTAATTAAATCTAATCATTTTGAAAAAAGTCGGCCAACTTGTAGTGTGTGTGTGTGTGTGTGTGTGTGTTTGTGTGTGTGTGTGTGTGTGTGTGTGTGTGTGTGTGTGTTTCCCCGTACTTGTGGTCAGCATAAATTAGGAAGGCCGTAATGTATTGGAATGGTATTTGGTATGTTGATAGATCTTGGAAAGACAAAAGGTAGCAGCTTTTTCTTGAACAACAGGCGAGTTTCCGTAGTCTTTCAATATGCGGATAAATAAAAAAAAATCATGTATACATATATGTTAATTTGGAGGTCATTTGCATAATTGATGATAACAAGTTGGGACTAAACCTTGCCAATAATATGTCACTAGTACACAATATGTTATGAGGTAAACACTAAACTCTAACACTGGAATTGGGACTTTGACACAAAGTTTCTTTCACACTATCAATATCTAAAAGAGTCAAGTTGTAAGGTTATTACAACATGAGTCATTTATAGCTTTGCATTGTTGCATTGTTCTTTTAGGCCAGGTAGGTCAATGCTGGGATCCTGGTGTGCCGGCCAATGGGAACAGGGATAGAAGCAGTAACTTTACGTCAGGACAGACCGTCAGGTACTCCTGTACAACCGGCTATCAGCTGTTTGGGGCTGCCGCTATTACCTGCCAGTCGAACGGGACATGGAGTGATGCTATACCATCTTGTGCAGGTAACAAAATGATCGTCAATGATTGAAAGACCTTTATTGTACATTTGTGCTCTAACAAGCTAAGTACAGGTCATGGATAAACAAGGAAAAGGATACAGCAATGACACTTAAACTATACATACTAATTATATAATGTTATCTACTATTTACATGTTCAACTTCTCGCTTCTTGACGCAGTTATAGATGTAAGAGCATATGGAACCAATGATACATGATTTGTCAAGTTTCAAAAGAAATCTGAATTTTTCTACATTTAAATGTCCAAAGCTGGGGAACTCATCTAGTATATAAGAATATAGGGAGTCTCTCTCATTACTATAACGTACAATCGACTACAAAATGATACTCATCCTCAATCTTATCTAAATCGCAAAATTGTCAATGTTAGGGTTAGGCTACTATATATACCAGTGCACCAGTAAATGACTAGTGGCATTGAATGCTTGCAGGTATGAATTTAACTTATTAACTATTCGTCGTCATGTTCTAATTAACACTTTCCATGCCTTAAGCACTTGAAGCACTTGAAGGTCGAACCTGTTTAATTTTCATATCACTTCACCTCGGCAATGTTTGGTACATCTGATCCAAATATCAAACGCACTTACTAATAGGTAATTTGATATCTTATATAACGCGTATTATAGCATTGTAACACCTGCATATTCTACACTAGGACGAATACAGAACTATATGGCGGCCAAGTTTGAACTCCAAAGACATAGATTTTATTGGAAACATTTCTACATGTATAGTATAAATGGTTATTCCAAGACATAGGTTAGGTTAGAATCGTAACAATCTTATTATTTGCATTGGACCGATTGTCATTGAAAGGAAATATGTTTAGAATCCATCAGAATCCGTCTTGTCGAAAGTGACTATCAGGGGCATGGGCTTGTGGAAGTTCGGCCGGCTGACAGTTTGGATTGGGGCAGAGTTTGCTATAACCACTTTGACGTAAGGGATGCAGACGTTGTTTGCAGAATGCTGGGCTATATCTGGGCTAATCAGGTTTACAACCGTTACGGAGGTAAGATTTGTCTGTTGTTAATGTTGTCTTGCTTAACAACTTGATTGATGTAATTAGGGGAGGGAGCTGGTAAAGGTGACCCACCTGTTCTCCCTCCCTCTCCCTCGCAAAATTTTAATAAACAAATAAACAAACTTCCTTTACGTTTTCGTATTCGCATCAAGTCCTTTCGGCATGTCTTTTGTGATGGCTACATTAAAAAAACTTGTTTTTGTTTTTAAATCCAGGAGATAAAAGAACCTATCTGGATGATCTACAATGTGATGGGAGCGAAAGTAGTCTGTTTAACTGCTCGCACGGAGGATGGGGAAACTGTGGATCCAACGAACATGCCGGCGTTATCTGCGGTACTTTGAAATGTTTTCATTAGGCCACACCAAGTAAATTTTATGGATGACGTCCGCGCGCGCATTGATTTTGGCCCGTTCCTAGAAAAGAAAACAAGAAGGCTGTGGCTATTGACAGGACCGTCCTGTCAATAGCAGAAAATATTGCACTGCTGACAGGATCGTCCTGTCAATAGCAGAAAATATTGCACTGCTGACAGGATCGTCCTGTCAATAGCAGAAAATACTGCACTGCTGACAGGATCGTCCTGTCAATAGCAGAAATTATTGCACTGCTGACAGGATCGTCCTGTCAATAGTAGAATAATTTGCACTGCTGACAGGATTTTTCCTGTCAGCAGTGCAAATTATTCTACTATTGACAGGATCGATAAAATTTTGGTATTTTTATTTCATACTGGAAATTTTGGGGTGGGCGCTGGTTCGTGTAGGTCTTATGTAGGTGTTATTATGTATGCTATTAGGCCATTTTTTACGATCCTGCGCTGCGGCCCCTGCAGATCGTCGTGCATACATTGATCCCCCGCTCGGTAGCGCGCGCCTGGCCTCCCGTAAGCAATGCGGCGGCAGTGCGTGCCTGTCGCCCCGACTAGCCTCTACCAGGCACCGCGGATCGCTGGAAAAATAGTAGAAATTGGCCGAAATAAAGGGAATAAGGTCGGCTAACTCCCTTGGTATATATTCCCTTTATTTCGGCCAATTTCTATTATTTTTCCAGCGATCCACGGTGCCTGGTAGAGGCTAGTCGGGGCGACAGTAAGCGCTAGCCATTACAGCCGGCGCCGCGGGAATGACACAGCGGTCCACCGGCGGGTACCAGTCGGGCTAGCCTGGGTGCCACCCCGCGCGCGAGTGTCTATCTCCTAAGTAAAAGTCACGGGAAGCCATACTTCCGGCAGACCTACTTGGCACACTGGGTCTAAATTCTAAATATCTTCGCGTGGACGAAGGGGTTTGGGTGGATAATGGTAGCGGACAAATACGGTTTCTCCCGAAATCTATCGCCAAATAAACGCCGGACTCTGGGGCACCCAGGGTTAACCGCCAGGCGTGCTAACAGCAACACAACAACCCGCCCCCTCAAAAATGGCACTGCTGACAGGACGATCCTGTCAGCAATGCAGTATTTCCTGTTATTGACAGGATCGTCCTGTCAGCAGTGCAATATTTTCTGCTATTGACAGGATCGTCCTGTCAGCAGCGCAGTATTTTCTGCTATTGACAGGACGATCCTGTCAGCAGTGCAGTATTTCCTGCTGTTGACAGGACGATCCTGTCAATAGCCTCAGGCAAACAAGAAATTCCGCTTCCTGTAACTATGACCAAAGAGTCACGACAGTGCCGCAAATCGTCAGATTGACGTGAAACCCGTAACGCGAAAACAGGACAGGACGACAACTGCTGTTCCACCTGTTTTGATGATGAATAAAAGACTTCTTGCTTGTTACACTGTGTCACCTCATTAAATTTGTGTCCTAACATTTGTTGTCTCAGGATATTTCTAATCTAGGCATCTTGTTTTTTAGGGCCCTTCTTGTTTTTTTTTTTGCCCTCTCGCATTAGATTTAGGGTCTCCAAAGGACGTCATCCATAAAATTTACTTGGTGTGGCCTTATGGTATCAATGAAGTATTTAGACTTTTAATTCTGTAAAGCTGAATAAGGCCACAACAAGTATTTTTGGGCGAGCCTAATGGTACAGTATTGTGTGCAGTTTGCAAGAATTCTAGGAATTGTACAGGAATTTTTTTTCCACAGGCATCGAATGTCCACAGGCATGTCTGGAATTTTGCTGACACGCATCAAAGTATGAAGATATCTGGCTTTAAATGAGGCAATGTAACGTTAGTTTTGAAAGATATGGATTGATCAATTTTTGTCATCTGTTTTCTTCATACGTTGGACATGACGTCATAAAGTGGAATTCGCCTTCAACATCATCCTTGCATGTCGGGCATCATCTCTTATACATGTGTGATACTATCTTTATGTCATAGATACCAGCAGAGTCCGTCTTGTCGGAGGTTCCGCCCAAAACGAAGGACGAGTGGAAGTCCGGCCGCGCAGCAGTATGAACTGGGGCACAGTTTGTCACAACCAGTTTGACATAAAGGATGCAGACGTTGTTTGTAGAATGCTGGGCTATCCCAATGCTACCCGGGTTCACAGTGATGCTCATTTTGGCCAAGGTAAGATACTGATGAAGGCGACAGTAGGCGTTGAAAATTTGATCTCTGTGAAAAATTGTGTTGGAATGAAGTTCAATATTTTACTATGAAAACTACAACACAGATGAACTTTCATGATGATTTAAGAGCTTCCTTTTGTTGTTTAAATGCGGATTTTTGTCAGTTATGTCTTTAAGATTATTTTTTTTTGGATTTACTGACTGATGAGCACTTTTACAACCCAGGAACAGGACCCATCTACATGGATGACCTACGCTGTGATGGGAGCGAGACTAGCCTCTTTGACTGCTCGTACGCAGGGTGGACAATTCACGACTGTGATCATGGCCAAGATGTAGGCGTGGTCTGTCAAACAGGTACGTTCGTTTACTCTCAACCGTACACCAGGGTTGCAAATGTAACTATTTTGTTTACATTTAGAATTGGGTACTAAGATATCTATAGGAAGAGGTAGTTAGTTGGTGTTGCGTAGTTAATTGAAAACATTACAAACCCATAATCACAAGCAACACTTTCGACAATGAACAATAATGATTTTGAATTCCCGCATATTTGAAATGTATATTATTTCTTTATTTCTTTTTTTGATTTCTTAATTTGAATTTACCACATGCAAAAACAAGTGGAAGGGAGGACAAAACAGGTGTATCAACGCCTTTACAAGTTGTCCTTCCAAACCTGAAATGAGAATACAAAACAATACGAAACCAAGTCAAACAATACAAATTAGACATCAAAAATCAGTAGACATGAAATATACAATTCGGGAAAAATTATACACAGAATTAATTATGTACAAAAATTATCAAATATCATTATGTACAGAGTAAAAAGCTAATTATGATACTAATGCGGCCTTAAAGCAGTGCATGAGGCACACCCACAAGATGTGGACCAGGAGCAGGGGACGTCGATATTGAACTGGGTGTCAAATCTCAATTATGCAAAGTTAAAATGGAGGACGGTTTTATTTTCAGATTCCAGCAGAATCCGTCTTGTCGGGGGTTCTAGTCCAAACGAGGGTCGTGTGGAAGTCCGGCCGGCCGACAGTTTCAGATGGGGAACAGTGTGTCACGGCCATTTTGACTTGAAGGATGCAGAAGTTGTTTGCAGAATGCTCGGCTATCCCAATGCCTATCGAGTTCGTCCTAATGCCTATTTTGGCCAAGGTAACTTCTTTGTCTTACGCAAAACTCTCCTGTACACATAAATAGTAGTTGGGAAAAATTGACCAAAATTATATAATTACATTGTTTTACACTATAGTACTTTCATGCATGTAATATATGTAACCTATGGCAGATGGAACATCAACAGATACTAATTATGCAAGTGATGACCTTATTTGCATAATTAATGCGAAAATTCTATGATTTCTTAATGGTGAATGATGGGAATGTCATACTTGGAACATCTGTAAGTTAATCAAAAGTTAACATCACGATGCATATATTATGTTCACGGCGGTCGGTTGCTAGGCTAAAAGTCGCATTACTAGGGAGGTATCGGGTTACAGAACGCGTTCGAACGTGGCCGCGCGGGAGTCCCAGGCCGGCCCGGGGGTAACGGGTAAAATTTGAAAATAAACGAAAGTAATTGGAGAGTAAATACTCGTCAAAATAAAATGTAATAGGTGATTTTGTTTACCTCAAATGTTATTCTTGCACTGCCTTTGCTCCACTTTGTGTACATTTGCTTCCAAATGAGATCAATTTCGGATTTCAAAAAGGGTTCACGAGAACCGAACAACTGATTTTAAGAGGCCCTGAAAATTAAAAATAAGGTTAGATTTTTGGATTTTTAGAACTATTACAGTAAATCTAAACTTTCTGTCTTAGGATTTTTTAATTTTTTAACTAAAACTCGACTTACAGTCAAAAGAAGAGCTAAAAACGCAGTGTTTTAACTTTAAATACCGATAATTCATAATCGCGACCATATTTAAAAAATCCCTAAGACAGAAATCTGCGGAAATCGTTCCTCTTCCAAACAAGCCCTCAATGGGGTAATTTGAGCGATTTTTGGGAATGGTTAAAATACCATGTTTGCACGCATGCTGTGCCACTTGGATATGGGGACCTGGATTTTATAACAGCGTCAACAAGAATTCTGACCTTCAAGGTCACCCACGATGACGGCAGTAGCTTCGTTACATTTTACATATCCACAATGAAATCACGGCATAGATGTAAAGTTTTGAAAACGGTTCATTTTTGTGGAAAGGTGGATTTTTCCTGTTCCGTGGTTTTCAAGTAAAAAAGGGCTTGAAGTAGCCGGTTGTAGCATGGGCGATAGGCCACCGAGTTTTTGTTGAGATCACTGTTGCTTTATTTTATGAACACTCGTATACTGTGCACTCCGTACAAGCTTAAGATTCCCGATAATCATACACTGAACACAAACACTATGAACACGGTCCGTTGAAAGGATCCGAAGAGTCATGAACTCAACACATAACACCGTGAACACTGTCCGTCGAAAGATTCCCGAGAATCATACACTCATCGCATAACACCGTGAACACGGTCCGTTGAAAAATTTCCCTAGAATTCTCTGTACAATGAACCATACATATATAATACATACTGCTGGGTACTTGGTCCGCTGAATCATACAATAAAAAGCACACTCATTACTCAGCTGTTACATTGGCGTTCAGGGTAGCGCAAAGGCCGACGGGAAATCCGAATAGAACAGGTTTCGCAAACTCGAATGCGTTCGCAAAACCGCTGCTCGACTCGATGAACCCCAAGCCGGGGCTAGCGCTAGCGGTGATAACTTCAAAAAGATGACAGGGTAGGAAACACCTACCCGTGAACTGCGTTACCAACTGGGGTGGCAGCAAAAATGTGACTTAGAATCACGTTCGGTGTGAAGTCCCTGCCTCCCCAGACTCAGAAAACAACGATATAGTACATTTTAGAGATATTGGGCACAACTACACTTTCCAAATCTCATGCCTGGGAAACATATGTAGAACTGAAAACACGTCGGTGGGGTTTGTGGACGTGTTTAGAGTACATTTACACATAGCATGTCAAGACTCTTGTCGGGTGATGTAGCCAGTTGTGTGCGTTTACATTTTAGAACCGCGCGGGAAATGTGGGCCTATCGTGCGTCTGATTGGCTAGCGATGATGTCATTGACCTGTACAGCAGCGACCTGGTAACGCAGTTCGCCGGAAATTGGACTTTACAAAATGCTTCATATCTTCTTTAAAATATGGTATCATACCCCCAAAAAGTTTACATGGCTACTTAGTTACCCCTTGATTATAGATAGTATCAAAACTTTTATTTTCCTTATGGCATTTCGCAGAAAATAGGGTCTTTTGAAATGGCATTTCGCACCTAGTGTATACTAGTACTAAGTACCTAACCAAGCTGAAGCGTTCGGAAGTCGCTGTTCGGCTCTCGGCAATCTTCGGGAGACTTCGGTATCTGTTCGTATGGTTCTTTGGAATCCTCATCAATTTGTGACCGTGTTCAGTGTACGTATGATTCCAGGGAACCTTTCAACGGGCCGTGTTCACGGTGTTATGTGTTATGTGACTGTATGATTTTTGGGAATATTTCAACGGACCACTGTATTGTGATGGCAACGGGCTGAATGAGTAGACACAGTGTATGTTCTAACATGCGCGAAACAATAATAAGGATTTTATTTAATGGTTTACAAAACAATGTAACGTTACATGTATTGTTAGATCTCAACAAAAACTCGGTGGCCTAGCGCCTGTGGTTGTAGCGACTTTACTGTAAATGACCGCAGGTAACCCCGGATCGAACGCCCGCTCTATTCGAATGACGTCATATCGAACAAGATTCGCGGGTTCGGGGGATTCGATCTCCATAGTAGCAGAGTGGGACTTTTGGGCCCAAATCTGACCATCGTGGTTAAAGCAGAGGTCATTTGCGTAATTAAAGAAGAAATTTACATATCAAGCCCATATTTCATGGAGGTATGAGATCTCGGAACTCTTGTATCTTAATACATCGCTGGTGTTCTTTTCGGAAACGTTGAATAGACTTTCCCCATTTTCCGCTCAATCTGCGTCTGTCTGAGTTTGCATGATAATTACTGATGGTGATGACGATCTGCAAACACATCAACTGGACCTATTTTGTTGTTTTTGACATATTGTTGCAATGAATACATCTGATTTGCCACCTTCAACTTATAATGTAAACTTCATCTTCTTGGCATTTTGTCTGACATATTTTGTCTGACACTCATGACTTCTATGCATGCGTGCATCCTGCAGGTCGTTTCTCATGAAAAACGTTAATGGCTCAAACATAGAAAGAAACAAAAACAACAAATACATTAACCTTTGTCTACAATAGGAACAGGGCCAATCTACATGGACAACCTACAATGTGACGGGACAGAGAGTAGTCTGTTTAACTGCTCGCACAAGGGATGGCGGAGTTATGACTGTGATCAACCTAATCGGGAGGACGTCGGCGTTGTCTGCGGTACATGTTTACGAAATATCCTGCTCCTATTTCCACGTGAATCATGATTTACATGTCGACTTAAGGCTAAGTCTTGACTTGGAAGTTGTTTTTGATAGTTGATTTTTTTTCTTGCCATTTACTTGAGATAAGGCCACACCAAGTAACTTTTATGGATGACGTCCTTTGGAGACCCTAAATCTAATGCGAGAGGGCGAAAAAAAACAAGAAGGGCCCTAAAAAACAAGATGCCTAGATAAGAAATATTGCACTGCTGACAGGACCGTCCTGTCTGTTAGTTAATAGTTCCAAAAACGGCACTGTTTTGGAGCTATTGACAGGATTTTTTTCAGTGCCATTTTTTTTTTCATTTTTGTTTCCATTTTGTAACCAGGCACAGGCTTTCGGCGTTACAGGTTTCACATCAATCTGACGATTTGCGGCACTGTCGTGACTCTTTGGTCATAGTTACAGGACGCGGAATATCTTTTTTTTTCTAGGAACAGGCCAAAATCAATGCGCGCGCGGACGTCATCCATAAAATTTACTTGGTGTACTTAAGATATAATACATGCATAGATAAGGAAATGGAACATTAGTGTTTGATTGCATACATTGTGTACGTGATATGTTGAGCATCACAGGCAATTTCTTTCTTTTTTTTCAGTTTAATTAGCTATAGTGGTGATCTATTTTACACTCTACAATTATACATCTGTATGCTCTAGTTAAAGGCCCTTTCTCATCTTCCTCTGAACACCAGCTGACCAGTCTGACCATGGAGGTAGAAAAAAGGAACCAAGTTTAGGCCACACCTACCTTTCCATACGAAGTGAATTGAATTTGAGTCAAATTTCTCTGCCAACCACGCTCCAAAATACTTCCGAACACAGCCAATCAACAGCCAACCATGGTTGAACCTATCTACCGTCCACACCTGACTGATTTTAACATTCTGAAACATTCGGATGCGGCCGAACTGTAGCCAAGCTTGCTCAGACCTATTTCTAACCATGTTAGGCTAGTTAGTTATTCTTATTTTCTGAAACCATATTCGGCTATGTGATAGGGGCTTACGAAGGAAATACACGTTTAGATTACAGCAGAGTCCGCCTTGTCGGAGGTTCCAGTTGGAACGAAGGACGTGTGGAAGTCCGGCCGGACGACAGTATGGACTGGGGCACAGTTTGTCACAACCAGTTTGACATGGAGGATGCAGATGTGGTTTGCAAGATGCTTGGCTATCAAAGTGCCCGACAAGTTCATAACGATGCGTATTTTGGCCTAGGTACGATATACCTTGTTTTAGCTGATTTTCTTGATATGATATGTTATTTTTTTTTAATTATTGCACACACGGCGGTCTGTCACTACGGCATTCTTTCCCATTGCTATGCGCGTTCTAAAAGGTATCGGGTTACAAGACGCTATTTTGACCTGTTTTGGACTACCCGTAAAATATTTGAAAATACACAAATAATATTTAGGGGTAAATTTCGTCAAATTAAAATGAAATTATCGTCTTAACATCCTTTAAATGTTAGCTTTTTATGTTAAATCAATGATTTTTTAAAATTTCGCTCAGAAAGACGATTATTTTCGGGTTTCCGAGCACAAGTCATATCACGTTTTTAGGCAAACATCGTTCAAACCTGGCTACGTATATTACCCTAGATCCCCGATTTTTATATTTTTCGCAGACTAGGAATAAGACAAACTAGAGTTCCCCGATCTCATACCTTCGCCAAATGACTGACAAATTATAGATTAGATTATTCCCCCCTGATTTAAGAAATAGGAACCTAATTTTCATGAATTATATCATTTTATCATAATCTCAACCAAAAGACAGTCTTATATAAACAAACAAGGCATTCTAGTATTTCCTAATAAATTATGCAAATGAGGTCCTGATTTGAATAAATTATGTTTAATGATGTTCACCTCAACTTAACTTTCAAATACCATAAGTATGAAATTACAGGCAGTTATCATTACATAATTATAAAATTTTCTCATT